TCATCATCATCATCATCATCATCATCATCATCATCATCATCATCATCATCATCATCATCCGCTAGGCTTCGGAAGATTGGATCAATATGCTCACTGAATGAAAGATGATGGACCCTTGAAGGGCCAACGAAAAACCAACCTCGCACCAACCCCCTCCCCGGCCTTGGCCACGTTGGGCGCCTGCACCGGGACGCTCAGCGACTCGCGACTCGCATGCGTGGCGGGCCATGTCCAGTGTTTCCTTGGTCCACCGAGACGTTTTTGGGGCCATGGATGCCATAGATCTCTTGTTCACGATCTTCCAAAGGAGCTATCTCCCCCCCCGCTTGGTCATTGGGTGATACTGGGTGCAGGACAGCGCGTCATCTGCGAGTACGACTTTCTGGAATTCGGTGCCTACCGGATACACAAGAACACTCGATGTGCCTTTAGACCCTCAAGAGCACAGCCGTTCATTGATATCGGATCCGTGCAGTATATGCCACTTGGCTGACGGTCGGCTGACCCGGCCCAAAGACGACGGTTGTTTTCGAAGGTCGCCGGGTGAGGAAGAACCCCTTGCGGCAAGATGAACTGAAACCTCAGTGCCTCCTTTGTGCTTCTCGTGGGAGGACTTGCAAAGAGCGAACACTTTCGAAGACATGTAAAGGGATTGTTTTTAAAGAGGGTGGAGGTTTGGGAGAAGAATTGACATGGCTGCTAAACATGTTCCCCTCCACTGAACAATCATGCACTGTTCGGAGATGTGTGATGTGTCCACTTCAAGGTGATTCAGCGGTTTGCCGAGGCTAACAGACTCCGGTGTCAGACTCCGGTGTCGACTTTCGCCTGAGGTACCACCAGGTGAGCAGTGAGAACTCCTACACCCAAAGTCAAGCCCGGAAGAAGGGCTTTCAGCGCCGCGGCCATTTGGGACAGCCGCAGATGCAGCTTTTGGAACGGTTTGATGTTTTGGTGGGTGCACTCATCTTCCGAGGCGCCGCTGCAATCGGTTCCGATTCGGTCGAACCATCTCAACCCTCCGGCCGCTGTGCCTAGTGGGAAGTGCTCAGGCTCCCAACCAAATCAGAGGTGCGCCAAAGGGGGGAACCTCTTCCTTTCCGGGCCCTGATTGCTTTGCCTCTCTCCATTCCCCAGAAAACACGGGGTGCCAACACTAACACCTTTGGAGACCCAGACATTTTGGGAGCCCTAATTTATTTGAGGATCGGGTGGCTCCATCGAGTTTCCCGAATTGGCCACCCCAGTGAGCATGCCCAGCCCCGATGAGCAGTGTAAGCGGTGTTTTTAGACATGACACAACTAGTCAGGCTCCAAACAGGGAGACATGACATGACATGGCCAAACTTCCCCACCAAGAATCTGTTCCCCAATTGTTGTGCATGTCTATGCTCCCATCAGTCCGGGATTAATCACGCCAAGAACAGCCAACGACTATTAAATTTAAGAACACTCACCCATGTTTCCATAAACTATAATATGTTGTAAAATGTTGCAAAGCAACGAGGGAAAGCACTGTAGGCGTTGTTCATGTGCTGCTTTCGAAAAATGTTGACTGATTGCCCAAATCCGCCACGCTTGCAGCGTGATCTGCCCTGTTTGCTGTTCGTGATGGCGTGAAACCTTCATGTTATCACCATGCTGGGGGGCCATGTGATTCTTCCGACCTCCATCCCCATTCCCCCCCTTTGGAACCCATATTGGGGCTGAGAAACACCAGTCCCGTCCCGCCCGCAGGTCGCCCGCCTCCCAGGTACATCGGCCTCCTCGAGCGACAGGAGCTCCTCGACTACATCGAGCACGGGATTCGCAGCGGCGAAAGGATCGTCCCCGAGGCGCGCGTGCGCGCGCGCGCGGCGTTCCCGGGGTTGACGGGGTTGGTGGGAACCTGTTTGTGCCTCGTAGGCTGGCGGGAGCCACCGGTCGAATGAAGCAGCATGTAGAGATGGTCTACATTGAGTCTACATGTTTGCATGTGAACATTGGAAAAGCCGTTGCGATTGGGATTCCGAGACTCTTGAAGGCACGGTTGGTCGCTAGGGATTGATCCATGAGACCGCATCCTCTGGGACGGTTGTGTAAGGCACCGACCTGTTGGCTTTGGTATAGGGTGGTACTAAATATTCTAAACTTACTGTATATCATGTGTTATATCAATAGCCCTAGCTGCCTGAGCTCTTCTAATACATAAGAGTTACTGTAGTTAGAGAAAGTTATATACATAAATGCGTGATTCTCAGGAGAAACATGAAGCAACCCAGCTTCCTCCCAGATTAAGAACCCCCATCGTCTTTGACACCAGGTGTTGATCGTCGTCGATTCTTCCGCTCGTCCCACCAGGTCTTGGAGGGTTCCAAGCGGCCGAAGACGGAGCGATCCGGGGAGACGCCCATGGCGCCCCACAAGAGGCCACTCGGAGAGACCTGGGAGAGGCGAAGACCTGGGTGAGGCACCCACCTGGGGTGGCGGCTGCGGCTGTGGGTGTTCTTCATGAAAGTCTTCACGTTCCAAACCGAAGAAATTCAGGTTTGGCGAACTCTTTGTGTGCGGAAGGGGCGAACTCTTTGTGTGGGATCTTGACGAGTTCAATCCCAAGAGAGAAAGTCCAATCTGGCCTCCGAAAGGAAGCATTCTATGTGCTATGAGATCTGATGTATTCTGATGTGATCTAGCTTCAGCTAGCTGAAGGCTAGCGTCGGACATACCGAACCAACTCCTTCCCCCGGGTCCACCGGACGGGTCCGGACCGGCGAGGAAGTTCGAAGAGATCTCCGTGGAGTTCGAGGGCAAGCGCCGGCGGAAGGAGGGGCGCAAGCAGGGCTGACACAGGGGAACATGTGGAAAGAGGAGGAAAGAGGGACTATTAGGTAATCCAAATGATCCAAACCATGTAGCAATGTAGCGTCCTCTAAGCCAAGACCTGCATGTGTTATCAAAGCTTCGGACTTGGATTAGATTTATACCTCGTGCGTCCTCATGCTTAGGTGTGGCTTGGTGTGAGAGGTAGGAGAACATCGTTGATCACTCAGTGTACCGGTTGTGGTTTGATGTTGTGGACAGTAGCAGGAGAACTTTCACGACTCTCAGAAGAGGCCTGAGAAACACAAGGAATGTATACCTTGACCATTGAAGTCACCCATCGACTACCTTGGGTGTGTCCGAACTTACCTGTAACAGGCAGTAGACAATGATCACTATTTTAAAGCAAGGCCTTTACTAACGATCATCATCCACGGTTACTGGCAACAGGATAGACCCATAGACCACCCTACACTGCTTAGTCTACTACTAGACTGGACCTCCCTTACTACATGGTCGATTCGTAGAGGTTCTGGATGATCAGATGGTGATGTCGTGCCTGGGGTTACCAAGTTGGGCGGGTCTTCAGATGTTTTGGGGGTGTTGGAAACCGGTGCGTTGTCTTCGATGGCAAAACCTCACAACGTAAGACTGGTTCATGTTGGAAAGCTGTGCCATCGCAACATTGGAAACCACAGGAAACCACGATATATACGGACCCCTTGCAGACATGAGTGACATGAGTTGACATGAGTTGACTGTGTCATCTTGAAGCACTCAGAGAGAGACAGAGAGAGAGGGTCTAAAAGCGATGGCCTCCACCCTAGTAGCATGCAGTGGCGATGGCCTCCAACCTACTAGAGATTGCCTCCAACCTAAAAGCGTTGATTCTTCGGATGGCCTCCTTTTCGTCTCCCGAAATGGTTTGACCACTGCGCGGGTGCTAGGACTCCTTCGAGATCTCGTACTCCGAGTACTGCTTGCAGGCGTGACGCTTGCCAGCTTGGCCGTGACTCCCAAGTGGAAAACTGCCGCATGTGGTGGTTGTGGTTCCTGTTTGATGTTTTTTTTTGTGGTTCTGCTTACTGGCTGCTTCGTTGTTGGCCGTTGGTTGTTTGTTGTTGCAATGTTGGTTTTTGTCGTTATTGTAGTCTCACACCAACCTGAGGAGAAACCATTGCAACTGTACAAGACAAGCCACGCAATTAGTTCACATTATATTGTATGGTTACATGACGCCTGAAGATACATCATCAAGATCCCTTAATTTGTCTATATCAAACCTCTTTTCAAGTTCCGGCTCCACCCGACGCTCCTGCTCCCGGTGCCACAGGCGCGTCCCTTGCACGACTTAACCTCGACGGTTCGGACGGTGGGGAAGACGTTGCCCATGGCGGTGGCGACCCTGAAGATCGCGCAGCAGGAGCTTCGGAGCCTTGGCGCCGGCGGAGTTCGGCACGCCGTGAACGGCCGTTCACGGCGCGAGAAGGGCACAGAGTTTCGGGGGGTGATGGATGTTCGGCGCGCCGGGTAGGTTTGGAAGCGTTCGAGCTCAGTGTTTTTTCAGGGAGTGAATGACAAGCATGACCTGCAGTGGATGATGTGCACAGTCATGTCATCATTTGTCCACAGATCGTGAGGTTTTAGAATGTTTTAGATGGGTTTCGTTTGTTTCGTGTGGTCGAGATGTTTAGACTTTTTGACCGAATGGCAATGATGATGGAAATGGTCTCCGAGTCAAAAAAGGGGGACTCCATGGAGCTACATTCCTGGATCAATCTGGTCAAGCTAGGACCACTGAACACTGGACGGGTGTCGAAAGAAGACGCACGCGATGCGTGACGGTCGTGCGCCGTGGGCTATGCGCGAGGCTTGAGATAAACACCCTCAGCTGTTTGGGACGGATGTTAGCGCTGCATGTTTGTTTCGAAGTCCTCAATGACTAGGCCATTGGGCCATGCTCTGTCCTCATGCATTAGTGGGACAATGTGGGGCACTAAGTCTTCGCAATCCACTTCTTGTCCGAGGTCCTGGCAACGATGCCCAAACATCGGTGGTGTTTTTCTCTGCCGGATTTGGCCGGGCCTTTTTTCTAGTCCTTGGGCGCTCCCTAAACCCGCTTACCTCACCCACCCCGCGGTTGCTGGTGTCACAGAAGGAGAGGTCCCGGGGAAGACCCCCTGTTGATGCTCCGCGCCACCGGATCGGCATATCCATCAGCTCAGGCAGTGGAGCAAGGTGGAAGAGTTCTCCAAGCAACAGCAGCCGCTGGGCGGATGAAAGAAGGACGAAGCTTGCGATCCAAGCTGCCTCCAAGCTGCTAGCAACGGGAATCATGACCTTGATCACTGCTTTTGCGGGACAATTTCTTGTATATAGACCATCTCCCATCAGTCCTTTTTTCTTTTCTCGCGAGGCATGTCGACCAGCCACATGAGGCATGTCGACCATCGGTCTCTCGTACGACCAGGGCGGTTGAGGGAACCGCTGGGCATCCCATCAGGCGCAGGCCGAAAAAGCGGCCTTTCGCGCAAGAGTTGCTGAAGATGACGGATCAGAAAGCTGGCACCTACCCCATTGATGCTCGGCCAAACGTTGGTGTTTGGAAGAACCTGCAGGCTTGTGCAGCAGCACGTGTGTGGCATGGAGTCTGCCAAAGAATGGGCATGTGGGAAGGTGGGAGCGGCCTTTTGCACCTGGATGCTACTCTTCAACAGGGGGTTTACATGGTTTACTGTGTTTGTTCATTTTGAGAGGTGAACTTGAATGCCTGCAACGGCACATGTCTGGAATCCATCGGAATCCATCTCCTCTTAATGGGCGCGCGACATTGTATGGTACACTCACTTGAGAAAGCATTTTTTTCTTTCTCAGGTTCACACGTACATATTCTGATTGCATAGTTCCAACGCCAACCCAACCCGTCGAATACAGACAAGGGTGACAAGGGGGTGGTTTGTGACTGACCTTGGATGCAGGTCTCGTGCGCGTGCCAGAGGTGGAAGAGGTTTTACCATCCAAACGGGAGGGGGGGTTTTATTCATCACGAGTCTACATTCCTCTGGCTTCCTTGAGCTCCCACTGGCTTCCTTGAGCTCCTTGAGCTCAGATCCTGGTGCCCAACAATAAGAATGCGCCGGTGAACATGCTCAACGTGAAGGAGCAAACGTGGAGCAAACGTGTGGTGGGGCAGGAGCTTGGGAAAGCTTACATGCTAATTACGACTATACAATACTATATATACACGTATTTAATCTTCCAACTTAAACCTCAAAGCCATTCAGAACCTGAGTTGCTTTTGCGTTTGGGCTTTTCGGGGCGCTTTGTTCTTATGTTAAGAGCATTCACCATGATGAACATTTGACGAGTCCGCAATCAACTCGTTCAAACGGGTTTTGTAGATGCCGAGCTCGCCTCGCCGAATGATGCCGAATGCAGTCACCTCCAACGAGGAGTTGATCAGCTCACACTTCGAAGAGTCGATCGGCTTCGAAGAGTCGATCGGCTTCTCCTGGAGTGTGTGAGAAGGATATCAAGTGGCTTTGTCCTACTAATGCCTGTATATCACATAGTATCACTATTTTTGAACAAGGCCTTTACTAAAGTATCATCATCCACTTTTACTGGTAATGGGATAGACCCAAGATATCAACATCCAGGAACAAGTCTTCAAGAAAAGCCACAAGAAACAAACCAACGAACCGCTGTTTTTACCTTCCCACTCACACCTGTAACACTAGTGAGATATATATATATATATATGTATACTGTATACATGGTTCTGTTTATTGACCTACCCATTCAGTGGATAACCTTTAACCTTTTTTGGGGCAGTTTCCCCACTAGAGAGGTCGAACAGGTGAGAAAAGGTTAACCTGTTTTTGCCAGGGACACTGAGGGGGTCAGATTATTGAGGACAGGACATGGTTCCTTTCAAGTCACGACCTTCGTTTCCATCCCTTTCGCCCGGTGCCCGGTCCGTGTGCTTGGACCCGCGCGCGCGCGTCCCCGCAGGACTTGCTGCAGGACGGCAAGTTCCAACGGCCGGACCGGAACACGAACTTCGATGCTCAACGTCAGGCAGTTCGGATGGGAAGTCCGGATCGAAGTCGGGCGCCTGTGTTTTTGGTCGGCGACTCAATGTATTAGCAGTAGTTGGAAAAACTCAGTGGGCAGCCAAGATTAGGGATTTAAGGGGGCTCTATGATGTGGCACTTCGGTGAAGAAGAACTTGAAACACAGGATGTCGTTTAATCTGAAGGACCTTAGGACCTTAGGACAAGTGGGCATCCCAGTGATGTGTGTGTGTGTGCGGATGATTGTGAAATCGCTCATCTCAAGAGTTTTTCAATTCCAGTATGTTAAATTCAATTGCCATGTGCGCTGTGCAAAACCGAGAGGACAGTCCTCTCGGTTTTGCTCTCAGTGTCGTACAGTTTGCCGACCAAACGCTTGGGAGCTTCGGACGGGCCATTCGATACACTACCCTCAAAGCGCTTGGCTCAAATCCTGCAGAGTATTTGTGGCCAAGCCCTGCAGAGCATTTGGATCCAGCCATTTTCGGTAGATCGTGCTACTACTAGTGACTATAGTCATGCTACTACCTCAGCCTCGCGGGCGCGGGCAAACGGCAATCGGATGCCGCACTTTCTGCTCCAAATGATGGAACACATAATGCTATATATTATGAAGCCCTGCGTTTATAAATATGGGGAAAGAGAGGGCAATGGCCACACCTCATTGCAGGTTGCGCACAAACAGTCCCCTTGCTTTCCTCCAGATTTGACCATTAGCAGCCTGCAGCAGCACATTGTGTGGTTCCAAGCTAGGCACTCCAGAACGAAACAGCTGGTAAACACACCTCAGATAGACCATCCCCTTGGTTCTTAGATGATTCTTGGCATGTTCACTAGAAACCCGGAGTAGGCAAGTAATAAGTAATCACATGGTCCAACTTCCTATCCCGCTTGTTCTCCAAAAAAGAAGATCCCTTCTTTATCTTCCTTCGACCTCTTCCCCCATCCATCCATCCGCCCGGCTCCCGGTTCCACCGGCTTCCGCTTCTCGCTGCGCGGCGAGGCGTCGGTGCTGGTCACGCGAACCCTCCACGGTGAGAAGTGGACCTTCGAGATCCGCGATTCCGTCGCTCACTTCGGCCGCCCGGCGCCGCGATGAGTTCAGTGACCATCGGTGAGAGCCGAAGTGATCCTCCTGTCATCCGAACAGGGCTGGGGTGGAGCTGGAGGGATGAATTCAGGGACTTCGAAGATTTGTTTGGTGTTCTGACAGAGGATATTTATCATTTTTTTTAAAATATGCATCATGAATCATCATGAGTGATTGAATTGTTGGCTTTACTGACTTGACAGGTTTGTTGGAAAGCCAGGGCGGCCGGTGCGACAGACAACATGCAACAAATATCAAGAAGTCTTTGTGCAGAAAAAGGTCCTGAAAATCCATAACGGACGGGGTGATGTTCATGGGAGGTGGGCGTGAGAACTGGAAGGCTCTTCCAGGTCATAAGCCTCTTCCAGGTGGTGACAGAGTTCTATTTTGTGTTTGCAGCTGGGCCCTAGGTCGCCCAGCCAGCCAGACATTTGTTTGTGTGTGGAAGTGGTGCATGGTGGCACGGGCATCCCTACGAAGAGGTGGGTGAGCTCAAGATCATTTGCGTGCCATTCCCTGCAACACCGTTTTCATGGGCAGATCCCGGATCATAGAAAAGCAGGCGGCTAAAAATAATGGGATGTTCTCTAGGACCTAGGGTGACCTAGGTCAATGATTGATCAACAGGACATGTTCTCCGCTTTTGTTCTTATTGGTTTCTTTGTTTCGGTGGCTGAAAAAAGCCAGATCCAGCGAGCTGAATGTCGCGCATGTACCGAGTGCCAACCTGTGCCAATTCCGGGACCCAGCTAGACCGAACAGAACCCAGGAACACATGGCCAAAAGCAAAAGTACTAAATCCAGATGGAGAAAAAGAAACACATGAAAACAACACAGAGAAACACATACAAACACACACACACACACACACATATATATATATATGTATATATATATATATATACATTAAATATATATATATATGTACACAACCCATGAAACACACCAAACAGATCAAGACATGGAACAACTTTGTGTTTTTTGTTTTTTTCTATTGGCCTTTTCGGACCGCTGGACAGAGCGTTCGATGTTCGGTGGGGTGTCCCGGTTCAACGAACGCGTTGGTGAGGTGAGTTGGACTGGCATCGTGTGGTGGCGGTGATCAGCGATGGGCATGAGTGGCAGTTTCACGGCGGCTCGCTTCGGAGAGGTGGAAGAGAGAGGGGCGAGCACGAGCACGGGCCGACCAAAACAGGTGGAGAAGGTGATGGGTTAGCCGTGTTTTGTGGAACTATGTAACATAGTATATATGAATACGTGTCATCCACTTTTATCCATATGGGTTTGGGTGGATGGTTGGTGCGATGAAGGTGGTGAAGAGGTGAATGCAGCTTTCATCCACTTCCCCCAGTAGTGCAAGCCCTTAGAATTCTTCATATGAGGGGATGCTCACTTATGCAGTGCTTCAATTTCTTGGACATTCCTGAATTCTAGGTGGAATTCTATCCTTACCAAGTCAAGGCTCGATTAAGCTCGATTATATAGATTCCCGGATGGTTCCGGTGACGGCGATGCTTGGAAGTACATACTCACGGGACTCTTGAACTATGAAATCATGAACATCATGCGTACATTGCGACGGATTGGTCATGAGTCACCTAACCACAATGGTGCGAGTAAATCTTTTGCGATGGCGCGACTGCGACCATTCTCACACGCAACACAAATTGACAAACGCCAGAACGGTGCACACATGTGCACAAGTTTGTGATTGATCATGCAAGCATGCAAGCATGTTCTCACCATGCAGTTGTTCAAGATACCAAAGCACTGCAACACAAGGACCTCCAAAGATGGCATGTCTCCCTTCATCTTCCCCAACAGTCACAGCCGTGGTCACCGGACTCAGGATGGCCTTTCCCCAGCGTCGTTGACCTTCTGGCGACCATCAAGGCGCCGGGTCCGGTGCGTTCTACGCGTGCCCCCGGGCGCCGGTCCTCGTGGGATCCGGAAGAGAAGCGGAGGGTACTGCCGGTTCTGGGTGAGGCGGTGAGGCGGTGGAGCTTCAATCCGGGGGGTTGGACATGGCCTTCACTGTGAGTCCGGAAAACGGCCAAGCAGGCATTTCTTTCAGGGAGGCCCACAGAGGATGGACTCAGCTGATGTTGATGAGTCAAACCAATAGGGTATGTGCCATCAGGACGAGTATGCGGAAGGCTGTTCGTGCACGCAGAACCCGGTTTGTAGAAGGAGGTGCGTCGTGGCATTGCGTGGCTGCTTTGGCTTCGCGCAGAACTTCGCAGAGATTCGTAGAATGCCCTCGCCTTTGCTGTTGCCTTTGCAGAAGTTCGTTGAATGGGCCGATGGGGTTCGAGGAAGTCTGTGTGAATGCCGTTCTGCAACTTTCAGTGAACCCTGTTTGAAGTCATGAAAAATCCTCATGACCTCCTCATGACCAATCCTCTTTCTTCCGTTTCCTGCCGTTTGCCCTTGGGCACCTGGCGGATTCGCAGGGATTCTACTTCCGCGAGAGGGACCGGTTCATCGAGATGCCGAGCCACGTGGACAAGTGGCCAGCGGCTCCATTTGCAAAGCGCGTTCCGAGCGGCCGTGAGCGGTAGGCGTCAAATTCAGAGTGGACCCATTCCGAGTTAAAGCCAAGGGCCAAAAGCGTTTTCGATACGATTTTCTCAAAAGAGATCAGTGACTGGATCAGTGCATATCAAGGCTAAGTTAGTTGTATGCAGTTCACTTGAAATTCTTTGGGACCCATTTTCGCATTCACATGATATTGGCCCGCACGCCGCTTTTTGTTCCACTCAGGTGACAGTCTTAGACTTAGTGCCCTTGAACCTACAGCATCGCTATGCACAAGTGCGGGACATCTTTTGGAACGAGGTCGCACCTCCTCGCGTGCGACGCGTCGGGCGCGATGTGTGTGGTAGAGGGGAGCTGGAAGAGGGGAGGCGACCAGGCCTAGGCTTCAAGGTCGGCCCTGGTTTTTCTAAAAGATCACCAATGGAAAGCAGGGCATGAGGTGAAACCATTTGCTAAGCTAAGCATGCTATCAATTGCTTGTGTGTCGCCTTAGATGAGTTGAGAGAGCTCGGTGAACCGGGCTGGCGAGTGCTTTTTCACATCAGCATCAGTTGTTTCGACTACTTTTAATGATATGTCAAGTTTTTCTATCCAATTATATGCCTGTAGCAGTCGGCAAAAAACATATTGTTTGAAGAAAGGCCTGTAACCATCATCATCCACTGTTACTGAAAATAGGATAGACCATGATAGACCTAATTGATATGTGTGTTGGTCGTTCCCCTGTTGTGGCCTGCCAGGGCCCACCAGGTTGATCAGGGCGACTTCGTCCAAATTGGCTCGTCATGTTGACTGCGCGCAGCATGGCACCACCCACATGAAATGTTTCTTACATTCCTCGGGCAACCTGTTTAGGGACATCCTCCCTCCATGAACGAGCGCCTGTATGTGCCCTGTTTTCGTGTTTTGCAGCCTGTCTCCTCCCACATTCGCCCGGCGGAACAACCCACGACCCGCCCGAATCCGCCCCCTCGAACCTCTCCTCTCCACATCGCCTCCGCGCAGGTGGAACGCTTCATCGCCTCCGCGCGGGCGAAACATTTCAACTTCAAAGATGCTCGGCACCCGCAAGTTCGCCGCAGCGGACATGGGACGTGGGACATGCACGTGGGACGACGCAGCCATAGATGCATTCTTTGAAACATGGAACCCCAAACTCACTGGGTTGTAGAAGAAAATGGTGTTCCATGGGTGATTCTCAGGTTCCATGTTAATTTGCAGGGGGGTAGTTGCTATTGTCACTATATCGTCAACATTATATATACTAATACACTGTATCCTCTTTGGGGAGCATGATGCAGATTCCCACCACTTTGCTCTTCGGTGAACTAACTTGGGTGACAATTCTGGTCATGAGCGCGCATTCCAAGTTGTAAACATACCCAGACACTCCATGGGACTGCCATATATGCCTACATTGACCCCCAAAACCACCCCAAATATAATATATTAAATATGGCAGTCCCATGGAGTGTTTGGGTATTGGTGTTTCCTGGCGTCCGGATGTTGGGAAGATTTCAAACGACGAAGCCAGCTAGATGCTCGGAAAGACATGCTCACTGGTAGCATGGGGCGATGTTCAGAGATTGGAAAGAACCTTAACGTCCGAAACCCTTTGGGTTCTGGAAATGACACTGCAGGGTTTTTGCTTAGCTGTTTTTTTGGGGGGGGGGCTTTGCCTCATGCAACGCACACACACACAGATGCTCAAGTGCAGCGGCTCGACCCTGCGGAAATGCTCCCCAAAAAGAACACATGTTCCCAGGGACACTTCAGGTGATGACGTGGGCTTCGGTGTGTTCACTTCAGACTCGTGATCTCCACTGTTTGGCGTTGCACGTGCTACTTCAGGACGCTGGTCTTGGAGTGAGCGCGCGGACGGTTCAACTCAGAGCGCCGGTCCTTTAGCCAGTGCTGACCCTGGCTTCCAGCCTTCCATGTCTACATGGGCCGAAGAGTTCATGAAAACAGTATGCGTTCTCGCTTTTTTCGAGTCTCAAACCGTTTGGTACAAGGTTCACGAGCACTGATGCCCTTGCACCTGGTGCTGAACAAAACCCCGTGAAGCTTCCTCTTATTCTTTGGAAGGCCAGGGCCAAACCGCTGGGACTGACTAGCGGGGGCGAAGCCCGACGAGAATGATTCGTCGGTTTCCTCCGGAACGGACGAATGCTGCTGGAAACAGAAAAAGGACGAGATGTCCGCCCACCGTTCGTCCACGTCATTTCTTTAGCACGAAGGGAGCCAGTGCAGGACCGTCCAGGATGGGTTGATAAACCAAAATGATACGCGTGGTTGACCTTTGGACTTGTTTGTGGCATCCTGTGGGAATCCTTTGGCAAAGGCTCGGGCTCTCTTCAACCGAACTACTAGCAACCAAGTTCATTCCTTTGGCCAGCCCCATCTTCAAGTGCAGGGGGTCATGCTTGCGTTCGGACCTGGCAGCCTCGGCCCTGCATATGGGTTGCATATGGTTGCGGCGAAAACCGATCCGGGGGATGTTTGATCCCTCCCAAGTCTACACCCCCCTGGAGTCATTTCTTTTTCGTGGCCGGATGGACTCGTTCCGATTCCACAAGGATAAATGCCTTCCCGTCGACATGTCTCGTATGTTCCCCATCCCATCAGGTTTTTGCCTTCCCAGAATGCTTTTCCCTGCCGATTGTTCTGTGATTTCTTTTGGGGGGTTGAAGCCCAGACACATTTTCCATGCACTTGCCGCACATGAACCCTGCAACCCTCCAAAGAAACATGAGACACAAAAGCGTGGACCAGCATGGTATCTCAGAATTAGAAAGATTGATGATGTAGCTGGTCGATGTTGTTGTTGGGGTGGTGGGCTGTTGCTTGTTGGTTGCTTGTTGTTTTGGTGTAGTGCAGCCAAGCACGGGACTGAGGGAAGGTTAGTTTATATAAAAGAAGGAGCAGGAGGAGGTGGAGCAGGAGAAGCCCGCCCCTCCCCCGCAATCCAAGCCTTTCAGGGAAGAGAACGAACGAAAACGGGAAGGGAAAAGACTCCGGGAACCCACCAAACAAGGTCCCTTGGGAAAGGAACATGTATTGGGACGGGAACGGCTGATGGGAAAACAAGACCCGTGGGTGGGAAAGTAGCAATCTGGCACCAGCTAAAAGCTGGAACCCGTTTTTTTAATAGACCCAGAACTGCCAATGACTCATTTTACATCTTTCTACTCCACGTGGTAGTCATAATGCGCCACTACCAATACCACTACCATAGGGGTAAAATGAAGCATTTGGACAATGGGACTCTGGAAGTCGACCCGGCCTGAGGTGTGTGCCTGGAGCTCCCCCGATGGTGGTCCGTGGGGATGGCCCAAGAGATCCACGAGCCGAGCGCAGCCAGTGGGACGAGAACAGTGAGAAGCAAAGTGCGATATGTTCTTAATGAATTACCTAGACGCTCCATGGGACTGGTATAGGACTGCCGATCAGTTGGGGTGGTGCCAGAGGGGTCAATGTAGGCATATATGACATACATGGAGTGTATGGGTTATAATAATATACAATATCTATTATAAGTATATATATATAGTTCATGACTCATGTTGCATATCAGTATGCAAACCTGTTGGCCATATGTCAGGGGTTTGCTTCATGTATCCTACGGACAACATGTGGAGCCTCAGAAAGATTCTTGGCGCAGGCGGTCTGACCTTTTTGATCTTTTTGACCGCATATATAATATACATTCATGAATGAGAGGTGTCTTGATCTTTTATGATCTTGATGGATCTTCATAGGCGTTTGTATATTCATGCATTGTTCCGCTCAGCAAGTGAGCAACCAGAAAGGTTTCGAGTACTTCCTGGCCCTTTCGTAGATGCTTGATAGCAGACCTCCAGCAAAGGATTCAAAGCACATGAGCTGAATTAAGCTGACATAAATGTCAATGGGACGTAGGCTGGCCATCGCCGATCAGTTGCTGGTGTCCTTGCTAGGATACACTCATCCCCCGTTCCAGTATCGCTCATGTTCCAGTTGACTCAGGTGTTGAGCTGACAGTGTGGATTCGACGTCATGTAGTCCATGATGCCCATCCCGAACCACAGAAGAACATGAACGAGAATCTTTTCCCTGGTGGGACCAACAGCAAAAAATGTCTACGACCGTTATAACGCAAGATGCTAAGTTGTTTTGCTGACACTTCCTGCAGCATGCAGCATGTGGTGGCGTGGTAGCAGGGTGCTGGCGCCGTTCAGGCTTGTCCTCCTGGGTGTCCACCCCGCGAAGTTTGGCGTGGGGGTGCCCACGACATCAACAGGGCAGGAAGGTCAGGAAAACATACCAATAATTGGCCTATTGAATATTGGCACACAACTCTCAAGACTCAAGAAGGCCTTTTGCTTCGAAGCGCTCGCCCACAGAAGAAACCACGGATGACGGTCGTTTTGGATAGCTTCTGGCGAGTGTAGGAGTTTGACTTCGGGCAAGTTGTTGGTGAGTTTCGGGCACATCTCTAGGTTCGCAGGTTCGCAACATTCATTGAGTTTCGGCGCGGCCCACTCCACATTTGGCTGTGTTTCTTACGGGACGTTGAGGTTTTCAGGAAAGCGTCGCTCACGGCCAGTGAAAACCTCGCTCGGTCAGGTGAGGTCGGGTGAGTGGAAACGTGTCGCTCTGTGGCACGCTCCGGTCAGCCCGTGGGTTTTTGGTGGTTGGATGCTGCTGTTTTTTTCCTTTTCCCTACGGATCCTAGTACCACCTGGACCCTCCAAACCCACCCCAAACACTTTCTGAGAAAACACTTGGATCCCTAGGGTCTTTTATGGTCTGGGGTCGTTTAAGGGTCGTTTTATCGCCTCAATTGGCTTTGACATGTTTGGAAACTAAGATGCGTAAGATCAAAGTGAGCCAAAGCGACAAGCGTAGGAAACATGATCGGGTTTTGTTCGATTTTTTGGTTTGCGCATTTCTGTTTGCTCGGATCTGAACGCCACAAAGACATGTTTTCTGCGGAATCTGTATCTGAAAGGGCTTAATACATTTTCTTACTTTCCATTTGGCTCCTCCATCAATCGACGGACAGGGGAGGTATGTTTATCATACCTGTGGCCTGCGGAGGTCAAATTTCCTATTTATCATGGTCACAGGTCAACATGTTGAGGAGTACTGTATATACATAGGTATTATATATATATATATTTTTTTTTAATATATCATATTTCAACTTTTAACACATTGATAATAACGATATCTTTGGACCTGTGGCCTGGGCAAGGAGAGATGAGCCGGTCTGTGCGCGGCTTAGAACCATAGGACGACTGAAATCGATGCCGGACCAAGAGAGGTGCTTACAGACCCTTGTTATTTGTTTTTTGTTTCCGGATACTGTATTTCATGTGTAAAGGTTTGTACTGAACGAATTCTTCGCCAACACGGGGTGCTATATCAAGAACTTAGAGAGAGAAAGCGATTGAGAGATAGAACCCCCCCGAACTTTTCAGTGGACTGGGGACCTTGCTGAACCGGAACCACTGTTCAAGGGAACGTTCGCTTGAATTCATCCAGGGACCCCGCGGGGCCCATGTAGTACATCCTATAGTAATTCACTGTAATTCACAAAAAAAAAGTCCCATGAAACATCAAACTCCTATTCTCAGGGCTTCTATGAGCCAGCTTTCGGCTCTTTTGCAGCTAAGCCCAATGGTCATCGTCATCAACACATATCACTGAATAGATTTTGTTCAATCGGATTTCCTCAGGCACTGAACATTGCAGCGGATTGTTCTTCGTGTGGCAGTAAGAGTATAATTACGAGATGTATATAGTACAAGACATATAAGACGTATAGCCAGGCTTTACAGTATCTACTTTTTTCAGAGAGGGTGCATGGCAATAGCTTGTTGGGTAGGATTCGTGTCATGGTTGGATGGCATGAAGCTTCCCTCCGTATCTTCCTTCATCTTCTTTCACCACATCATTCATGGTCTTCAGTTTCTCATGACAGCTGGAAGCTCAGAGGCTTTTCGTTCGAAGAACAGAGTCATCCGGTGCTGCCCCAGGTGTGGCGGGCCCACAGGTGTCGAACTGGTCTCCGCCGGGAGCCCTGTCCACCGGCGGACGGTGGTCGGATGAAACAGCGTCGGACAGCGTTGCTTCAGCACGCGGTGGACCGTTTCTTTGGGTTTTTGGTGCTCAGTGTGCTCATCAACCATCATCAACCATCATACCACTCAAGCATTGTAATTAGTCATTTGTGGTCCATGTAAAGAACCCATTATGTCCCATTCACATCAGATTTTGATTGTAAGGACCCCGGCCTTCAGAGAGTTGTGGTTTTGATATGTTTTGATCGCATCCGATGTAGTGTTTTTTTTGTGGTGAATACCCACCCTTCAGAAGGCCCACAGAAGTTCGGGCCACTGGAACTCGCTTCTGTGGCAAAGAGACCGCTTCTCTTTTTCCATGAATCATAGAAGCACTATATAGCCGCTGACATTGAAAGTATGTTCCTGCCCCCGCCCACCTAAGAACCATCCTGTCGCGTTTCGACGGTTTTTTACACTGTTTGGTTGTCCTGTCTTAATGTCAAAAGAGATATCCCCGATTTGAGGTCGTAAGGGTGATTTGGTCCGCCAGGAGCCAGGAGACGTCAAGAGTTGGTGCCAAAAGCTCCACGTTGACGTGCGAGTTTCACAGCCAGGCTTCGTATCAAACTCCCAATGCCCACAATTTCTGGTCGCATTTTCAGCGGCTTCGTCGTTGGTGTCCAACATCGACGGCGCGAATCTCGGTGGTTTGCCCACTTGAGGCCTGAAATGGGTATGGCGACATGGCCGGCCTGGTGCTGAGATTTCGGAGAGGGTGGCCATGTGTCAAGACATGGGGTTGCGGTTGATGTGGGTTGCGGTTGGCATATTTTCAGGTGGTGCAGGATTGGTTCCGTG